CTATACTCTGCCTAAAGAAGACACACTTCAGCTTTAAGGGCACACATTGACTAAAAATGAGGAGATGGAAAAAGATATTCCACACAAATTGAAACCAACACAGAATAAAAGTAGCTGTATTTATTTTATATCAGACAAAACAGGCCATGTCAAAAACTGTAGCCAAGAGTAAAACGGGTTTTATGTAATGATAAAGGGTCAATTCATCAAGAAAACATAATAATTACCAATATATACTCATTCAACATTGGAGCACCTAAATATGTAAAGCAAATATTAACAGATCTGAAGGGGAAATAGATAGCAATACACAAAGAGTAGGGACTTCGGTACCTCACTTTCAACAGTGGAAAGACCCCCAGACAGAAACTCAACAAGAAAACGTTGTGCATAGCCTCCACTGGAGACCGAACGGAGCTAATGCCCATAAAGAGAACACTCCCCCCAACAGCAGCAGAAGACACGTTTCTCTCAAGTGCACATGCAGCATGCTTCAGGATAGATCATACATTAGGCCTCAAAACAAGTCTTAACAAATTCAGGGAGACTGAAATCCCATCAAGCATCTCTTCTCAACACAGCAGTATAAAAGCAGGAATCCGCGAGAGGAGGAAAACTGGAAAATTTGCAAACACGAGAAAATTAAACGACACATTCCTGAACAATCAGTGAGCAAAAAAGAAATCAAAAAATATCTTGAAACAATTAAAATGAAAACACAACGTACCAAAACTTAGGGGATACAGCAAAAAGCCATTCTAAGAGGAACCGTTGTAATATTAAATACCCACATGGGAGGAAAACAGGATTACAAACAAACAATCTAACTTTATACTGTAAGGGACTGGAAACAAACAGAGCCCAAAGTTAGCAGAAGCAAGGAAATAACAAAGAGCAGAGCAGAAATAATCAAATAGAAACAGAAAAGCAACAAAACAGAGTTGCCTTTTGAAAAGGCAAAAGAAATGGACAAACCTTTAGCTAGACTAAGAAAAAACAGAGAACTCAAATAAAATCAGAAATGCAGTAGAGAAAGGTTAAAAGACAAAGATATTAAAAATAGCTATATTCACTGGTGAAAAACTGAAATATTTTACTCTAAACTCAGAAACAAGACAAGGATGCCCATTCTCCCCTCTTGTATTCACTATAGTGCTGGAAGTCGTAGCCAGAATGATTAGGCAAGAAAGAGAAAAGGAAAGGGGAACGGAAAGAAAAGGAAAGGGAGACAGACAGAGCAAGAAAGGAAGAGGAAGGAAGGAAGAAAGGAAGAAAGGAAGGAAGGAGGGAGGGAGGGAGGGAGGGAGGGAGGAAAGGAAGAGGAAGGAAGGAGGAGGGAGGGAGGGAAGGAAGGAAGGATGGAGGGAGGGAAGGAGGGAGGGAGGAAAGGAAGGAGGGAGGGAGGGAGGGAAGGAAGGATGGAGGGAGGGAAGGAGGGAGGGAGGAAAGGAAGGAAGGAGGAGGGAGGGAGGGAAGGACGAAGGAGGAGGGAGGGAAGGAAGGAGGGAGGGAGGGAGGGAAAGAGGGAGGGAGTGAAGGAGGGAGGGAGAAAAGGAAGGAAGGAGGAGGGAGGGAGGGAGGAAAGGAAGGAGGAGGGAGAGAGGGAGGGAGGGAAGGAGGGAGGGAAGGCAGGAAGAAGGAGGAGGGCGGGAGGGAGGGAAGGAAGGAGAAAGGGAGGGAGGGAGGGAGGGAAATCATTGTCATCCAAATTGGAAAGGGAGAAGTCAAGCTGGCTCTATTTGCAGATGGCATGACCTCATATAAATAAAATCGCAGACTCCACTTAAAAATGCTTAGAACTAATAAATTCAGTAAAGTTGCAGGATACAAAATCAACACATAAAAATCAGCAGCATTTCTATACACTAACAATGAGCTACCCGAAAAAAGTTAGGAAACAATCTCCCTGACTGTAGCACCAAGCAGAATGACATATTTAGGAATAAATTTAACTAAGGAAGTATTGTGCACTTGTACACTGAAAACTATGAAACATTGAAGACACAAATAAATGAAAAAAATATCTCATGTTCATGGATCCAAAAAATGAATATTTCAAAATGTCCATACTACCCAAAGCAATCTACAGATTCAGTGCAATCCCCATCAAAATTCCAAAGGCGCTTTTCACAGAAATGGAAAAAGAAATCATAAAATTCTTATGAAACCATAAAAGGCCATATATAGCCAATGCAGTCTTGAGCAAGAAAAACAAAGCTGAAGGCACCACACTTCCTGATTTCAAATTGTATTCTAGATAGACGGTAATCAAAGCAGTGTACTTGCTCAAACAGGCGCTGGCAGAAAAACCAACACGTAGACAGCAGAGCAGAAAGCACAGAAATAAGCCGCACACACACGGCCAACTCATCTTCAACAAAAGCACGAAGCAATGCTACAGGGAAAACTGAATATTCACATGCGAGAAAAATGAAATTAAATCGTTGTCTTATACCACACATAAAAATCAGCTCAAAATAGAAGACTTAAATGTAAAACCTGAAATCACAGAATTCCTACAAGTAAACGTAAGGGAAAAGTTCCTTGACATTGGTCTTGGCATAGTTTTTTTGGATATGACACCAAAAGAACAGGCAACAAAAGCTACAGTAAATAAGCGGGACTAACCTACCCAACTGATGAGTTTCTGCACAGCAAAGAAAGCGATCAACAACACGGAAGGGCGCCTCTGGAACGGGAGACGGGATTTGCAAACCATGTATCTGACAAGAGGTTATTATCCAAGATAGATAAGGAACGCATGAAACTCAATTGGCAAAAAACTAATAACCCAATTTAAAAATGGTCAAAGGATCTGAATAGGCATTTCTCTAAAGAAGACATACAGGTGTCCAACAGATATATGAAAAGGTGCCCAACATCACTCAGCATCAGGAAAAGAGAAACCAAAGCCACAGTGAGATACCGTCTCATGCCTGTTAGGATGGCTGGTAACAAAACATCAAAAGGGAGCACATACTGCAGAAGATGTGGAGAAAGGGGAGGCCCTCTACCTCGCTGTGGGAATGGAAAACAGTCTGCAGGCTCCTTGAGAAAATCAAAAGCAGAACTACCACATGCTCCAGCAGTGTATCTACTGGGTGCACAGCCAAGGGGCTGAAATAAGGGTCTTGAAGAGATACCTAGAGTTTCAGCCTACATGTCTATTGACCAATGAGTGGATAAAGAAAACATGGCATATTTATAGTGGAATATTATTCAGTCTTAAAATATTAGCGGATCCTACCATTTGTGACCTGGATAAACCTGGAAGGCATCACGCTAAGTGAAATAAGAATGTTCCAGCTCTTGCTTAGGATGAGGTTACAGGTGGATGTGATGGTCAAAACTGATTGTACTATAATCTCAAAATGGGAATGTCCATAAATTATACCTCAAAAACGTTTCAAAAAGACAGTGCATGGGCTTAAATATATATTTAACTATATTTGTGTTGTTATAATAATTTTTAATTGGAAACAACTCTCCAATGTTAGAAGATTGGTTGGGGGATTGGCTAAGTTAGTGTATGTTCTCATAGAAGGATGTGCACACATTGAGCAAGCATTTCTAGAGACAATTTTTAATGACTTGAAAAAAATGTATCGCTTGAGGCCAGGAGTTCGAAACCAGCCTGGCTAACATGGTGAAACCTCGACTCAACTAAAAACTGAAAAAGTAAATTAGCTGAGCATGATGGCACATGCCAGCTACTCGAGAGGTTGAGGCAGGAGAATGGCTTGAACCTGGGAGGTGGAGGTTACAGTGAGCCAAGACTGTGCCACTGCACTGCAGGCTGGGTGACAGAGCAATACTCTGTCTCAAAAAAGAAAGAAAGAAAACTCATTTTTAAAACTGTAAAGCAGTAACAAGGAGTATATCCTGAGGGTGACGGCCACCATGCACTCCATCCTGCCATGTACTGTGCGGCTGCTCTCCACATGACACATTTCCTTCACATGTATGATCCAGCAGCTACTCTCCACATATGACACATTTCCTTCACATGTATGATCCGGCAGCTACTCTACACATATGACACATTTCCTTCACATGTAACAAGGAATATATCCTGAGGGTGATGGCCACCATGCACTCCATCCTGCCATGTACTGTGTGGCTGCTCTCCACATGACACATTTCCTTCACATGTATGATCCAGCAGCTACTCTCCACATATGACACATTTCCTTCACATGTATGATCCAGCAGCTACTCTCCACATGAGACATTTCCTTCACATGTGTGATCCGGCAGCTACTCTACACATATGACACATTTCCTTCACATGTATGATCCAGCAGCTACTCTACACATGAGACATTTCCTTCACATGTATGATCCAGCAGCTACTCTACACATATGACACATTTCCTTCACATGTAACAAGGAGTATATCCTGAGGGTGACGGCCACCATGCACTCCATCCTGCCATGTACTGTGCAGCTGCTCTCCACATGACACATTTCCTTCACATGTGTGATCCGGCAGCTACTCTACACATATGACACATGTCCTTCACATGTGTGAACCGGCCGCTACTCTACACATGACACATTTCCTTCACATGTATGATCCCGCTCCCGTGAGCCTCTGCACAGTCCCACAAGGCAGGCAGAATCACCGGACTTTACCAAGGAGGAAACAGCTGCAAAGCGACGAGGGTCCTGTCTGCATCCTTTACCGTGCCACCTTCACAACTACAGTGATTCACTCAGCACTCCCACATGATCTGGACGCTGTTATTCGTGTCCTTAGAGAGGCCAGGAGCCTGCGCTGACTCCCAAGGCACTTTCTTTCCTGGGGCCACACAAACAGGTCAGCACAAGGAGTACTGTTGAAGGGGCATTCTCCCTGCCCCCTGCCGTCTGCCTCCCTGGGACCCAGAAGGCAGGGCCTGTCCTCTCTGGAACCACCGCCCCCTCCTCCCAACCCGACTCTAGCGGGAGCGGGGCTTCCATCCGCAGAGCTCTGCAGGCTGGCTTGGGGATGCAGGTACCTTTCTCTCCAGTGGGGCCGACTCTTCCAGGCCGTCCTGGGGCGCCTTTGTCTCCCTTCTCTCCCGCATCTCCTGTGGAAGAAGTCACATCCAGTTAGCAGCTCATTCTGGCCAGCACAGCATCCCAGAGTGATTTGTGGAGGAAGAACAGTTACTTCCGACCCCGTCCTTGCAAGCTGCCAGACCCCTTCTCCCCGCCCCTCTCCACTTGCAGCCCAGCCCCTACCCTGGGTGCCCCCGATTCTGTTGTCAGGGCTCGTTCTCTCCCTGCCCTACCTTCTCTCTTAGAAAGGGCCTGTGTTTTTCTTGCTGGTTCCCCTCTGGGGGTGCTCCTAGTCTGCCTCTGGGCATACAGTGCCCCCCAAGCACCATCTAAATACCAGCTCTCCCCCAGACTAACACCAATGAGAAGGGCAGCAGGATCTCCAGGTGTCCCCATGGAAGCGTCACCCCGGCCTCTCCCTGAACTTCATCTGGTTGGCACTCCCGGGCTATGTCAGCCTCTGCTGGCCCAGACAGCGTGGGCCCCCCAGGGCACAGGCTCCTGCTCAGTCATGGCCTCCACCGTGAGGACTGCTGTGACCAGGTGGGCATGTCCACCTGCTTCTAGGGCTCAGTCACCAGAGGCAGGAGACAAGAGTGTGAATTACTGGTGGAAACCCCCTGCAAGGCGCGGTGCAGAGGTGTGCGCGGTGCAGAGAAGGGCGCGGTGCAGAGATGGGCGAGGTACAGAGAGGGGCACGGGCGGAGATGGGCGCGGTGCGGAGATGGGCGCGGTGCAGAGAGGAGCGCTGTGCAGAGAGGAGCGCGGTGCAGAGAGGGGAGCGGCGCAGAGAGAGGCGCGGTGCGGAGATGGGCTGGGCGCGGTGAGGAGATGGGCGCGGTGCGGAGATGGGCGCGGTGCGGAGATGGGCGCGGTGCGGAGATGGGCGCGGTGCGGAGATGGGCGCGGTAAAGAGAGGGGCGCGGTACAAGAGGGGCGCGGTGCGGAGATGGGCGCGGTGGAGAAAGGAGCACTGTGCAGAGATGTGCGCGGTGCAGAGAGGGGAGCGGTGCAGAGAGAGGCGCGGTGCTGAGGTATGCGCGGTGCGGAGATGGGCGCGGTACAGAGATGGGCGCGGTACAGAGATGGGCGCGGTGCAGAGGTGTGCGCGGTGCAGAGGGGCGTGGTGCAGAGAGGGGCGCGGTACAGAGAGGGGCGCGGTGCAGAGGTGTGCGCGGTGCAGAGGGGCGTGGTGCAGAGAGGGGCACGGTGCAGAGAGGGGCGCGGTACAGAGAGGGGCGCGGTGCAGAGGTGTGCGCGGTGCAGAGGTGTGCGCAGTGAGGCCAGGAGCCCCAGGAAGGCCTGTGGGCACCAGCACCTCCACTTCAGTCTGCATCCGCCTCTAATCCACACCAAAATGATTGTCCTGAAGCAAACGGAATTCTATCATGCCCCTAGATTTAGTTGTAAGTGACTCCTCCGCTACTTGAGCCCGTCCTCAGTGTGGCTCTACCTGGACCCTCTTTCCTTACTCTGTGCCCTCTGCCCAGCCTGCCTGGTCAGCGGCTCCTGTCCAGGCTCCGCCTTCTCAGCCTCCTACAGATTCTCTCAACAGAGCCGCTCTGCTCTGCTGGCTGGGACTCTGCTCTGTACTCATTTTTATACGGCTGCATTTCTTTACCTGTTGCGCTATCTCGCCACTGAACAGCTGCAGAGAGGCAGTGTGTGTGTACATGCGTGTGTGCGGTGTGTGCATGTGTGAGCGTGTGCAGTGTGCATGTGTGAGCATGTGTGCAATGTGCGTGTGTGCAAGCATGCGCGTGTGTGCATGTGTGTAATCATGCGTGCATTGTGTGCACGTGCGGTCTGTGCCTCCGTGCACACGTGTGTGAGCATATCTGCATGTGTGTGTGCTGATACGCTGCAGGTTCACCTTCCCGCTCTGCACAGTCGTACCAGCGTTCACATAAAGTTTCCTTCTCTGTAACTCCATCCGCACCTTGTCTTGCAGAGAGGCTCAATTGAAATGAAAGATCCCGCCACAAAATCCCCAAAGCTGATTATCTGGCTTCATGGAGGGAACATACCATTGAAATCAAGTAATAAGAAGAAAAGCACAGCGATGGCAGCCGGCAGCACAACCCCACCCCCAGCCCCGCAGGGCCACCTGCCAAAGAGTCCATGGCTGCTCCTGGGCTGACGCACCGTCCACATTCACTACCCACGGTCCACACCCACGCACCGCCCATCGTCCACATTCCCTGCCCAACATCCACACCCACTCCCCGCCCACGGTCCACACCCAATCCCCGCCCACCATCCACACCCACTCCCAGCCCACCGTCCACACCCACGCGCCGCCCACTGTCCACACTCACTACCCAGGGTACATACACCATCCACACTCACATCCCGCCCACTGTCCACAATCACGTGCCACCGACCGTCCACACTCCCCACCCACCACCCCCACCCACTCCCCACCCAACGTCCAGTCACACGCCTCCACCGTCCACCCACTCCCCGCCCACCGTCCACACTTGCTCCCCGCCCACCGTCCACACCCAATCCCTGCCCACCGTCCACACCCACTCCGCACCCACTGCCCACACCCAATCCCCGCCTACCATCCACCCACTCCCTGCCCAGCGTCCACACCCATTCCCAGCCTACCGTCCACACCCGCTCCCCACCCACCGCTTACACCCACTCCCCGCCCACCGTCCACACCCACTCCCCGCCGGGAGGCTCCAAGTCGCTCTCAAGTTTGCTTTCCTATCTTGTAAAAGGGAAAGAGAAGTGTCAGAAATATCCGACAAGATGAACTCGGCATGAAGAACCCCCGCGGTTTGAGGGGCACCAGAATCACGGAGGAGAAAAAGGAGGCGGAAGGTGGCGCCGCGGGACACTGGCTGTGCAGGGGACAGGCGCGGGGTCAGCAGCAACGGGCGGCGGAAAGAACTGAGGACGACGCTGGGCGGCGCGGGTCTGCGGAGAGGCCCAGGCCCCTCGGGAAGCCGGGTGGGGGGAAGCGCTGTTCCCAGGGCGGCACTAAGAAGAGACTGCAGCTTTGTTTGTTTTGTTTGAGGCCGTGAGGCTGAGAGTTGAAGGAAAATCTCGTGAATGCGCGTGTCCATCTTGCAGCAGTTCCGGAGAGAGAGGAACGAAGCCTTCATGGCTGAGAAGATTCAGCAGCTGCGCTTTTCCAGCACGGAGGAAAGCCGTGGGAGAACGCTGCGAAAGGCCGGCGGAGAACCGCGGGAAACCAGAGAAAAGCAGCTCAGACGTGTCGGAGCGACCCCGAAGAACACCGAGAATAAAGAGGAAACGGTGTCAGCTCCGCAGGAGGGGAAGGTTCTGAAGACTGCGAGCCTGTGAATGACGATCAGATTGACATACGAGTCTCATTCGCAACACCGGACGCAAGAATAAAATGACGCAATAACCTCAGCAAAGGAGCCGTCATTGAGACGGCAGGATCCGAACTCTCAGGCAGAGCTGCTGGATGCGCAGGGGCAGCCAGGCGCTGAGTCAGGCGCGTTCCGAGGACAGGGTCAGCAGGTGCACAGACGAGGGGGAAGGCTGGAGGCACTGACGAGGGCCAGGTGTGTGGACAGAGCGAGCCGCGAGGCTGGGGCGCAGGCAGCCCAGGGGCATCATGGCTGGGACCCATGGGACAGCATGACCACCCATGCCGAGACCTAGGCCAACGGTGCCCAAAATGAGGCAGGAGAAACCCGGTCTCTACTAAAAATGCCAAAAAAATTAGCTGGGCATGGTGGCGCGTGCCTGTAATCCCAGCTACTCAGGAGGCTGAAGCAGGAGAATTGCCTGAACCCAGGAGGCGGAGGTTGCGGTGAGCCGAGATCGCGCCATTGCACTCCAGCCTGGGTAACAAGAGCGAAACTCCGTCTCAAAAAAAAAAAAAAGAATGGTTCCTTCAGGAAGCATTTCAAACCGCCTATATGACAGCACTCTGCGCTCTCCCGCTGGCTGAAAGCCTGGAGAAGACACAGCTCCATCTCACCCAACCCTGGGGCCCCAGAGCACCAGGAAGAAGGTGAGTGCTCCATCAGTGCTCGCAGAGAAGTAACACTAAGCAGGCCTGCCGGGGTCTTCTCACACTGCTAATGAAGGCCTGGAGCTTGCACTCGGCATTGACTTATTTGCATAATAATTTCAACCCTCCCCCTATGTGGGGCGGGCACTATGTCCACTCTGCAGGGGAAGACACAGCTATGAGAATGCCCAAGCTGGGATGTGCTGGTGCCAGTGTGTCTTTACCACGCCTTCCTCAGGCATCAAAACCTCAGAACAAGTCACTAACCAGCATGATTACTCACGTGTCCCCTCTCCTCCTAGAGAAAGCAGTAAGGACAAGCTTGTCATGATAGCTTCTGACCGACCTCCACCTGCATCCATCGCCTGTCTCTCATCGGATTTTTTTTTAATTGTTGGCCAAGTGCAGTGGCTCATTCCTGTGATCGCAGCACTTTGGGAGGCCAAGGCAGGAGGATCGCTTTAAGGCAGGAGTTTGAGATCAGCCTGAGCAACATAGCAAGACCCCACCTCTACAAAGAAAATTTAGCAGGGGCCAGATGCAGTGTCTCACGCCTGTAATCCCAGCACTTTGGGAGGTTGAGGCGGGTAGATCACCTGAGGGCAGGAGTTCGAGACCAGCCTGGCCAACATGGTGAAACCCCATCTCTACCAAAAATACAAAAATTATCTGGGCATGGTGGCTGGCACCTGTAATCCCAGCTACTCAAGAGGCTGAAGCAGGAAGAATTACTTGAACACAGGAAGCAGAGGTTGCAGTGAGCCAAGATTGCACCACTGCACTCCAGCCTGGGTGACAGAGCAAGACTCCACCTCAAAAATATATAAATAAGGACCAGGCATGGTGGCTCAGGCCTGTAATCCCGCAAACTCTGGTTACTAAAGCAGGAAAGAAAGAATAAGTCATTAGAAACAGTAAGACTTTCTAAAGAATAGGATTTAACATGGATTTTCTTTGTATCTCTCAGCTAATCACAAAATCCACTTAACTGCCATCTCTCAAGGGCTCTGCTTAAGGACCTCTGTCTGCAGTCGAACAGGCTGGGCGCATTCAGCCAGCACTGGGAGGCAGGAACCCCAAATGCCTCGTGGCTGTGCCTGCAGGGTGGGGAGCCCACCCTGGAGCCAGAAACCACTTTCCCCCCTGTGCAAAGCCCAGTGGAAGCCCGCCCAGCCTGGCCCTCCTCAGCTCTGATGAGGACTGAAGGAAATCCACCCTGGAAGATGCCGTGCTGGTTTTCATGAGAAGAGGGTGTTTAAATCTCCGGCTGAGGCTCAGCAGCACTGAGGACCAGAGAGTAGAGAGGTCTCCCATCCACGGCAGGGCTGCCCTGGTTTCTCCGCGGTCCCCATTGCCTCTGGTTTGCAGACTCACCCTGTCCACGCATCTGAAGCACCAAGGCTGTTTTCAAGCACTGCTCACAATTTGGCAGGGTTTTGTGTTTTTGTTTTTGTTTTTTTTTTTTCAGAGCTGAAGTCTTTTTTTTTTTTTTTTTTTTTTTTTTTTTTTTTGAGATGGAGTCTTGCTCTGTCACCCAGGCTGGAGTCCAGTGGCGTAATCTTGGTTCACTGCAACCTCCGCCTCCCAAGTTCAAGCGATTCTCCTTCCTCAGCCTCCCGAGTAGCTGGGACTACAGGCGTCTGCCACTGTGCCTGGCTAATTTTTCGTATCTTTAGTAGAGACGGAGTTTCACCATGTTGGCCAGGCTGGTCTCGAACTCCTGACCTTGTGATCCACCCACCTCGGCCTACCAAAGTGCCGGGATCACAGGGATGGGCCACTGCACCTGGCCCATTTGTCAGGGTTGGAAGTGTTCATTCTCCACTGGTCCCAGGGTTCATAAAGATATATGGCCCTGCAGGTAATGACTCCCAAGCAGGCTTTCTATAAGCCTCCCCCCTGCAAACTCCGTGCATTTTATCATGTAGACCCAGTGAGCACAACACTGTTTTTCCCGCCTCCTTTCCTTTTCCAGGATGAGTGGCTTTATAAAGTTTTAATGACATATTACTTCTCTGCCAGGAGAGGCTCACATTTCCACCGTCTGGTTCACTTTCCACAATCACCACAACACTGCTCCCTCCTTGCTCAGAGAAACAAAGAGCACGCGGCCAGCATTCACTATTTGCTTGGCTTCCCTGCAAATCATGTACAAATCTACGAACAAACATCTTTCAGTTAGATTGCATTTGGGGTCATTTCCGACCCAGCCAGGAAGACACACGTCAGTCGTTTTATGCAGAACCTGAGATGCTTTGACATATTCGCAGTCAGTGGAGGAAGATCCGTGGACAGTGCTTGACGGTGATGCTACCCACTTCTCAGGCTGCATGAACTTGTGCACCAGCGACTTCATCCCTCCCAGCCACAGCGAGTGCCACGGCACCCCAGGGCCATGGGAGGTCAGAGAGGGGAAAGCCGGGACCTCAGCCCGCCTGGCTCGTTTTACAGAGGGGGAGACAGGCACAGACAGGCTGACAGGTGTCAGAAGAGCAAACCTCCACCGCGTACGCTGTTCAGGACCCATTACTGGTTTTATCAATGTTATTTTAAGGAATGTCAGTAAATGATTTTAAAATTAACTGGTAAGCTGGGCACAGTAGCTCACGCCTATAATCCCAGCACTTTGGGAGGCCAAGGTGGGTGGATTACGTGAGGTCAGGAGTTCAAGACCAGCCTGGACAACATGGTGAAACCCTGTCTCTACTAAAAATACAAAAATTAGCCCGTCATGGTGGTGTGCACCTGCAGTCCCAGCTACTCGGGAGGCTCAGGCAGGTGAATCGCTTGAACCCAAGAGGCGGAGGTTGCAGTGAGCCAAGATCACGCCACTGCACTCCAGCCTGGGCAACAAGAGGGAAACTCCATCTCAAAAACAACAAGCAAAAACAAATTAATTTGATAAAACCTATAAGAAGAACTATGACCTTTCCAATTTCTGGGCAACACACTTGGTAATACAGTTGAATGTTTTCCCACCTACAGTCACTTTTTTGGCCATGAAAAAAATAACTGTTTCTTCCCATTAAAAGGAGTTGTCATTCTCTCTAAACATAAAGATCATGTATTATTGTCAGGCCTGCAATGGCAAATCAATGTCATCTCAAGTACCCCAGCAGTCAGCGGAGCCTGGTGTGTGTGCCCAGGAGGATTCCTCAGCCAAATGTGGACTCGGCAGAAGTTTCAGGATCCAAAAAGCAATGGGGAGCGTGGGGAGGGGGCGCATGCTGTGTTCCTCAGAGCAGACGCCACCCATGTCCGGGGCTGAATGGTGGGACTGTGAGGAGACAGGCAGTGGTTTCTTCATCCCAGCCCTGAGCCTGGCTGGTAGATTCTTGATGGACGTTTGTCTAACGAATGGTGACTACGTATGTGTCTGTTTCCTTAGAAGCAGGCACTGTCCTGGATGACGTCTCTGCTCTGTGACCTCCAACGGCCCTGGGGTGCTATGACACTCGCTGCAGCTGGCAGGGATGAGGTCCTCTGGCACACAACATTTTATCCACTGGGTAACAAATTCCTGACACACTGGGCGTCCTCAACCTTTTAAAGCTCTCCTCGCCCTGGTGCTCACCTCTCACTTGCGGACTCGCTGGACACATGCTGGACAGGCACCTGATCTGCACCCTGGGAGGGCTTGCAGCCTGCTCAGGGAGAGTGCCTTGTAAGTCACTGTCCCAGAGCAGGGAGCAGGGGCTAGGTCCTGGGTCACTATGTGTTCACTCCTGGTGCCACCATTGCATCCCCACAGAGCCCAAAGCCGGCATCGCCTCCCCAACCTCACAGACCAGGAGGCCAAGGTTTGGGGGGACAGGTGACCCATCACGCAGCATGGCTGACCCAGCACATGCAGACCTGCCCTACTTCCCAGCCTGCAAGGGTTGGGAAGGGACCCTACCCATGTGGGAAATGACAACACATCCAGAGGACCCAGGATGTGGAGGCCGGGAAGGACCCTCCCAACAGCACTTGGGAAAGGCAGCATCCAGAAGGGACCCTGGACCCCAAACCACGGCCCCCACCTGTGCACGCCACAGACCTGGCAAAGCACAGGGAAGATTGAACGGCTGGGACTCGGGGGCATCCACCACGTCAGATGGGGACATGACATCCAGAGCCAAAGTCCAGCTCCCCACAGATGGGGCTTCCAATTTAAAGCTGAAGGTTCCACTCACAAACCCACAAATGCTACCATGAAGTCAGGGGCCAAAGCACTTTCACCAAAACTTCTTAGAGAGCCGTACACATCCAGCAGTGTAAGTTGCTTCCAACATAATTCAGCATTTCTAAAGCAGGCACATCAATCAGAATTTAAAACGCAGAAGCCCCTGGGCTGTGCTGGGCTGCAGTGTGGTCCACTGGTTCCAACAGCAGGGTGGACACAGCTGAAAAGAGGCCCCAAGCAGAGCCACGCAGCAAAGCAGCAAGAAAAACATGTTTCTTATTTTTTACCCAACCACTAGACCACCAGGGATATATTTTTTTTAATTTTTAAAATAAAATATTAAGTGTTCCCAGGAAGCAACGCAGAAGCACTTTAGGACCTTACACAAATTGCCAATATTCTCTGAGCCTCAATTTCCTTATCTGTAAAATAGCCCAAATGGGATCATCTTATGGGGAGGCTGACAGAGGCCGCGTGTGCAGGCCCGACGCGAATGCCAGGTGCCTTCCTGCGAGGTCCCCTGGAAAGGGCTGAGTTGCAAGTAAATTGCTATTCTCAGAATGAGGGACTCCCATGGCCGGAGCCGGCTTAGATATCATGTCACCCAATCCTTGATTTCCAGATGGGGCAACCAAGGCTCAGGGGGATGGGCAGACCTTCCCGGGCTTCGTGCTTTTCCACGGAACTCCTGGCTGCATGGGAGTCTCTGAGCCGCCCCGGAGGCCACTGCCTGGCGGTGCAGAGTCCAGGGAGCAGTTACCTTTGAGGCCAGGGAGGAGGATCTGCACGGAGCAGGCGTCTTCGGAGGCTGGCTGAGGATGTCCAGGCGGTGGCAGCGACAGGAAGGCCAGGCTGATCAGAACACCCACCAGGGCCAGATGTCCCCTCATCCTGAGCGCAGGATGCCGACTCCTACACGGAGGAGGAATAATGAACAGTGATGGGAGCTGCAGTAGCCGGCCGCCGGTGACAGTGAGCAGGCCTCCGAGGCCAGGGGCGCAGCCCGCCTGGCACCTGGCAGGGCTGTTTAGGCCCCCACAGGTACTCCTCAGTCACTCGTTCACTCGAGCACCAGTCATGAGTCTCCAGTGAGAGACTTCCAGCACCACGGTCAGGCACTGGGCACCGAGAACATGCCAGCTCTGGCCAGTGATCCTTGCTTGAAGGCCTACAGTGTGCCCACCCCAAGGAGTTCCATCTAGATTCCTACACAGAGAATTCCTACTCAGCTGCTAGAGAAAGGCCACCTGCAGTATTGGGATTCCCACATCAGCAGCCCTGTGAGAGCCCTGCTACAAAAGCCAGGGGAGGGGGACATTGCCCCGAAAGCCAGGGCCCTGTGGAATCTACAGAGACCCTGCTTCTGGCTGGCGCTAGCCCACCTTTGCAGGCAGAAGTCCTGCTGCTCGCGGAGTCCTCCCGGAATGTGCGGAGGCCAGGACGCCCACGGCAGCACTGCAGTTCGAAGGGAAGTCCTTTGAAACCCTTCTCCCAAATCTGAAAAAATCTTCTCGAATGGTAATAGACGGAAAGATGACGTGGAGACCGCTAGCGTCAGCGCCCTGAACATCCCATGTTAGACATCCTTTACCACTGAGGCAAGGGTTAATGAAGGGAGGGGGAAGGGAGAGAGGGGCAGAGCCAGAGCTTGGGCATGCAGGTCGGAGGGCTTCACTTGCCAAAGATGACAGAACCTGTCCTACCGCTATGAAAACCTAGAGGCCTTGAAGCCGAGGCTGCCTCTCATCCCGGGTGTTCAAGAATGGCTCGGGGGTGAAAGGTCCTTTATAGCTTAAAGTCACGCGGCTCACGCCTGTAATCCCAGCACTGTGAGAGGCCGAGGCCAGCAGACATCATGAGTCCAGGAGTTTGAGACCAGCCTGGGCAACATAGCTAAACCCCACGTCTACAAAAAATTAGCCAGGTGTGCTGACACACACTTGCAGTCCCAGCTACTGTGGAGGCTGAAGTGGGAGCATCACGTGAGCCCAGGAGGCTGAGGGTGCAGTGAGCCATGATCACACCACTGCACTCCAGCCTGGGCAGGCAGAGTGACACCCTGTCTCAAAAAAAAAAAAAAAAAAAAAAAACACAGACACAGGAAAGAAAAGAAAACAAAAAGCTCAAAGTCACAAAAAATAAAGCAATGAGCTCTGGCTACACCAGAGGGTCCACGTGGTCCACACACCAGCCTGTCACCGGAGGCCCTGCTCAAATCTCAGCTCCACTCCCGCCACTCCGGACCCCCCTGAGTGTATGGGAAGGGTGGTGGGAAAAGGGGTTAATTCAGAAACTACCCACACCCCCCTTTATTCAAACATCCTGCAAGAATCCACAGGAATCGGAAGTAGACATGACTTCACAAAGCACAGGCGTGGGGCAGCCAGGAGGAAAGTGGGGGCTCCCAGTTCCCGCTGAGAAGGGGTGTGGGTGGGAGCCCGCCCCATGCAGTGACACAGCCATCACAGGGCCTGGCATTGTCCTCTGAGGCTCTCCTCATTACTAACATTCATGATGGACAATTTCAAATACACACAAAACCAGTACCATGAACCTCCCTGTACCCATCGCTCAGCTTCAGCAATTTATTATACCTACAGCTGCCGTTTGTGATGTTCACTTGCTAGTTCATTTGGAGTTAATGTGTGAATACAAGTATGTGTGTAGTATCCTGTGTATGCTACAGAATGACGAGGCCTAACCACACAGCACACACTTGTGAGCGCACCTGCCTCGCCAGCCCCGAAGCCCCAGCCCCGCCCCCATCCACACGGCCTCCCCTGAGGGACGCCATCCCGAATGTGAACCCCTCCTCCTCTGGCAGGGTTTAAGCAGCATTCCTACATTATTTGTTCTTAAACCATATTCGGTCAGGTTTGCTTGTTTTTGTTTTTGGGACAGAGCTGGAGGGCAGTGGTGCCCTCTTGCCTCATTGCAGCCTCAATTTCCTGGGCTCAGAAGATTCTCCCACCTCAGCCTCCCTAGTAGCTGAGACTACAGGCATGTGCCACCATGCCTGGCCAATTTTTGTCTTTTTTGTAGAGATGGGGGTCTCGCCACGTTGCCCAGGCTGGTTTCGAACTCCTGGGCTGAAGTGATCTGCCCATCTCGGCCTCCCAAGGTGCTGGGATTACAGGCATGAGCCACCACACCCAGCCTTGATTGCTTTTGACCAGATATCCCAGCACAGTATACACAGTCTTCAGTGTCTTTTTCACTCAACTTTATGCGGTTGTAGTGTATGGATTATCTAATCTTATGAAGGCAGAGTGCAGGCCACTGGCAGGTGCTGGAAGGAGAGGAAGGGTACAGCTGGTGGCGTGGAGCTCGCCCTTGTGACTGTGGGGCTGGCAGGCCAGCGCTTGCCTTCCTGCGCCATGGAGGGGCCGTCGCCAAGGCCTCCTGGGACTTGGCATCCTGAAGGCAGTGGGTAAAGGGCAGTCACGCGTCCGCTGAACCACTTCCCAGTACCTTGGCCACACCGCAGGCCCTTTGCAAGCCCCTGTTCTTCTCTTAAAACGGAGATAGGAATGGCCGGGCATGGTGGCTCATGCCGGTAATCCTAGCACTTTGGGAGGCTGAGGCAGGTGGCTCATGAGGTCAGGATTTCGAGACCAGCCTGGCCAACATGGTAAAACCCCATCTATACTAAAAATACAAAAATTAGCCGGGCATGGTGGTATGTGCCTGTAATCCCAGCTACTCAGGAGGCTGAGGCAGGAGAATCACTTGTACCCGGGAGCAGAGGTTGCAGTGAGCCAAGATCATGCTACTACACTCCAGCCTGGAGACAGAGTGAGACTCCACCTCAAAAAAATAAAACAAAACAAAATAAAATAAAACAGAGCTAGGCTATTCTAAGGGATAGCAGAGGAAATTAACGCCTGTGGCACCGTGACAGTGTGGCACATGGAAATGCTCGTCCAGTGGCAGCTACTGATCCTCTTGTGATTATACACGTGGGCTCCCAGTCCAGGGAAAGGGCTGGAAGCTCCTCATCCGAGAACACCTGTGCCCCACACAGTGCCTCTGTGTCAGTTCTCCCACGGAAGGGACACAGGGAGACCGTTTCCATCCAGTGCCATCCTGCAGTGCAGGGCATCATGCACCAGTTGAGGACCTGGCTTCTTCTGCAGAGTCCCTTGTAGAAATGGCCTTGTAGAGGACCAGGTGCAGAATATCCACTGAGTTGGAGAAAAATAACCCCCATCACTGCACAGAGATCGGCACCATCAGGCTCACGCCACAGACGGGGAAGCCAAAGAAAAGAGACATTAAGAACACTTCCCAGCATTGTGTGACTAGCCAGTGGGGAGGGTGGGGCTGAAAGCCAGGGCTTCCCCTCACTGTCACGGCTTTCCTCTTTCTCCCGGCTCTCAGCTCCCCACGCACCAAAGGAAGGGCCCCCTTCCTTCTCCAGTCATGACGGTAGGGACTTTTTAAAAACAGCGTTGGATGGAGAGAAAAGGAGCTTGTATACATTGTGTACCAAATGTGGGCGCGTGTCTGATTTAACTCCCAAAACGACCTTGTACAATATTACAATTCCTCAGTGCAATATGGAGAGGTGAACAATCAGCCCCAACTCTACCACTTGGCCATGCAACTGGGCACTCTGCCTCCAGCCTCCCTCCACACCCACAGCCTGCCTCCAGCCTCCCTGCACACCCACAGCCTCCCTCCAGACTCCCTGCACACCCACAGCCTCCCTCCAGCCTCCCTGCACACCCACAGCCTACCTCCAGCCTCAGTCCACACCCACAGCCTGCCTCCAGCCTCAGTCCACACCCACAGCCTCCCTCCAGCCTCCCCTGCACACCCACAGCCTGCCTCCAGCCTCAGTCCACACCCACAGCCTCCCTCCAGCCTCCCCTGCACACCCACAGCCTGCCTCCAGCCTCAGTCCACACCCACAGCCTGCCTCCAGCCTCAGTCCACACCCACAGCCTCCCTCCAGCCTCCCCTGCACACCCACAGCCTGCCTCCAGCCTCAGTCCACACCCACAGCCTGCCTCCAGCCTCCCCTGCACACCCACAGCCTGCCTCCAGCCTCAGTCCACACCCACAGCCTGCCTCCAGCCTCAGTCCACACCCACAGCCTCCCTCCAGCCTCCCCTGCACACCCACAGCCTGCCTCCAGCCTCAGTCCACACCCACAGCCTCCCTCCAGCCTCCTCTCCACACCCACAGCCTCCCTCCAGCCTCCTCTCCACACCCACAGCCTCCCTCCAGCCTCCCCTGCACACCCACAGCCTACCTCCAGCCTCAGTCCACACCCACAGCCTGCCTCCAGCCTCAGTCCACACCCACAGCCTCCCTCCAGCCTCCCCTGCACACCCACAGCCTGCCTCCAGCCTCAGTCCACACCCACAGCCTCCCTCCAGCCTCCCCTGCACACCCACAGCCTGCCTCCAGCCTCAGTCCACACCCACAGCCTGCCTACAGCCTCAGTCCACACCCACAGCCTCCCTCCAGCCTCCCCTGCACACCCACAGCCTGCCTCCAGCCTCAGTCCACACCCACAGCCTGCCTCCAGCCTCAGTCCACACCCACAGCCTCCCTCCAGCCTCCCCTGCACACCCACAGCCTGCCTCCAGCCTCAGTCCACACCCACAGCCTGCCTCCAGCCTCCCCTGCACACCCACAGCCTGCCTCCAGCCTCAGTCCACACCCACAGCCTCCCTCCAGCCTCCCCTGCACACCCACAGCCTACCTCCAGCCTCAGTGCACACCCACAGCCTGCCTCCAGCCTCAGTCCACACCCACAGCCTCCCTCCAGCCTCCCCTGCACACCCACAGCCTCCCTCCAGCCTCCCCTGCACACCCACAGCCTCCCTCCAGCCTCCCCTGCACACCCACAGCCTCCCTCCAGCCTCCCCTGCACACCCACAGCCTCCCTCCAGCCTCCCCTGCACACCCACAGCCTGCCTCCAGCCTCAGTCCACACCCACAGCCTCCCTCCAGCCTCCCCTGCACACCCACAGCCTGCCTCCAGCCTCAGTCCACACCCACAGCCTCCCTCCAGCCTCCCTCCACATCCACAGCCTGCCTCCAGCCTCAATCCACACCCACAGCCTCCCTCCAGCCTCCCTCCACATCCACAGCCCACCTCCAGCCTCCTCTCCACACCCACAGCCTGCCTCCAGCCTCCTCTCCACACCCACAGCCTCCCTCCAGCCTCCTCTCCACACCCACAGCCTCCCTCCAGCCTCCCCTGCACACCCACAGCCTACCTCCAGCCTCAGTCCACACCCACAGCCTGCCTCCAGCCTCAGTCCACACCCACAGCCTCCCTCCAGCCTCCCTCCACATCCACAGCCCACCTCCAGCCTCCTCTCCACACCCACAGCCTGCCTCCAGCCTCCTCTCCACACCCACAGCCTCCCTCCAGCCTCCTCTCCACACCCACAGCCTCCCTCCAGCCTCCCCTGCACACCCACAGCCTACCTCCAGCCTCAGTCCACACCCACAGCCTGCCTCCAGCCTCAGTCCACACCCACAGCCTCCCTCCAGCCTCCCCTGCACACCCACAGCCTGCCTCCAGCCTCAGTCCACACCCACAGCCTCCCTCCAGCCTCCCTCCACATCCACAGCCTGCCTCCAGCCTCAATCCACACCCACAGCCTCCCTCCAGCCTCCCTCCACATCCACAGCCCACCTCCAGCCTCCTCTCCACACCCACAGCCTGCCTCCAGCCTCAGTCCACACCCACAGCCTGCCTCCAGCCTCAGTCCACACCCACAGCCTCCCTCCAGCCTCCCTCCACACCTACAGCCTCCCTCCAGCCTTCCCTCCATACCCACAGCCTCCCTCCAGCCTCCTCTCCACACCTACTGCCTCCCTCCAGCCTCCTCTCCACACCCACAGCCTCCCTCCAGCCTCCTTCCACACCCACAGCCTGCCTCCAGCCTTCTTCCACACCCACAGCCTCCCTCCAGCCTCCCCTCCACACCCCTCTCCCACAGCCCACCTCCAGCCTCCTCTCCCACACCCCTCACCTGCTGCTTCTGCCCACACCCTGCTCCCCTGTGCCCATGCGTATATTAGCATAAGGATGACTGAAAAGCAGAAACCCAGGATCCCACCAGCTGACTTCAATCCTCCCACCTTCCTTCCTCATTGGGTCCATGTGCGAGTGATTTGTGCAAGCTACAGCTTCTTAAAGGTCTCTGGGCACTCAGAAGCCCGCAGTTTAGCAGGCACCAAACTGAGTGAACGAATGAGTGAGTGAATAAAGGAACAAACAACAGAAGGAAAGCACACAAACGCATTGCAAATAGCGCCTCCTGCTCTTCCCTCACGGCGCTTCTGTATTTGCAGAATCTTCAACAAATCTAATGTCCACGCGGTTTTCCCAGGCAGGCAGGCAATCTGCAGACATGGGTTACTCCCCTGCTCTCACTGTCCTAAAATTCCTAATAATGTTGAAATGGGCCAGGCTCAGTGGCTCACGCCTGTAATCCCAGTACTTTGGGGGGCCAAGGCAGGTGGATCACCTGAGGTCAGCAGTTCGAGACCAGCCTGGCCAACATGGTGACACCCCATCTCCACTAAACATATAAACATTAGCTGGGCATGGTGGCAGGCACCTGTCATCCCAACTACTCAGGAGGCTGAGGCAAGAGAATCACTTGAACCCAGGAGGTGGAAGCAGCAGTGAGCCGAGACCACACCACTGCACTCCAGCCTGGGTGAGAGAGCGAGACTCCGTCCCCCAAAAATAGAAATCAACAAAATAAAAATTAAAAGTAAAAAGGGCACCGCAAGGTTTGTGCCAGGCGTGCTGGTCCACTGAACTCCTAGGCATCCTCTACCCAGCTGCTGCCCGAGCAGCTCCTGAAAGCGGTGAGAAGCTCCTGCTCCCCACCCACTCTGCGCGAGGCAAGCCTCACTTCTTAGTGTTGGCAGGATGCAAACTGGGTTTCAATGTTTTTTCAATGTGTCAGGAATCAAAGGCTGGCATGGGAATTTCCTCTCTAGTTGGAAATAATTCTGTCCAGGTAGAGCCAGGTGTTCAGCAAGGCTTTTATCGCCCTCACGCTGCAGAAGCCCTAAGAGTTCAACAAAAACTGATCTCCGTCTCCCAAGAGAAGGTAAGTAGTAGGTGGGAGAAACCCAGAGCAGCCGGGCCGGGCCTTCTCGTGCCTTCTCTCACTCACACTCACCCGCTGATCCCGGAGCAGCCGGGCCGGGCCTTCTCGTGCCTTCTCTCACTCACACTCACCCGCTGATCCCGGAGCAGCCGGGCCGGGCCTTCTCGTGCCTTCTCTCACTCACACTCACCCGCTGATCCCGGAGCAGCCGGGCCGGGCCTTCTCGTGCCTTCTCTCACTCACACTCACCCGCTGATCCCGGAGCAGCCGGGCCGGGCCTTCTCGTGCCTTCTCTCATTCACACTCACCCGCTGATCCCGGAGCAGCCGGGCCGGGCCTTCTCGTGCCTTCTCTCACTCACACTCACCCGCTGATCCCTGAGCAGCCGGGCCGGGCCTTCTCGTGCCTTCTCTCACTCACACTCACCCGCTGATCCCGGAGCAGCTGGGCTGGAACTTCTTGTGCCTTCTCTCACTTCATTCATCCACTGACCCCCAGAGCAGCCCCAGCCAGGCCTTCTCGTGCCTTCCCTCGCTCCACTCATTCACTGACCCCGCTACCCATTCACAGGTTTCCTGTCCACTTTCCTGCGACAGGCCCCACCTAGACCTACGGGCACAGAAGAGGCCCAGGCCCTGCATCCGGTGCTCTCAGATGCACAGCAGGAACCCAGGCAGATGGGCACAGGGTGAGGGCACCCAGGCCTCTGAAAGTGCCTCCACTTCCCAGAGGTCTCACCCACTGACTGCCTTCCCATAAGAGGACTTTCTTTTTTTCTTTTTTTTTTTTTTTTTTGAGACGGAGTTTCTCTCTTGTTACCCAGGCTGGAGTGCAATGGCGCGATCTCGGCTCACTGCAACCTCCGCCTCCTGGGTTCAGGCAATTCTCCTGCCTCAGCCTCCCGAGTAGCTGGGATTACAGGCACGCACCACCATGCCCAGCTAATTTTTCGTATTTTTAATAGAGACAGGGTTTCACCACGTTGACCAGGATGGTCTCGATCTCTTGACCTCATGATCCACCCGCCTCGGCCTCCCACAGTGCTGGGATTACAGGCGTGAGCCACCGCCCAGCCGAGGAACTTCATTTGTAAATGGAGAGGCCACATCTCCCTCAAACCTCTCTGAGAACAGCATCCTTATCTCCCAGCCCGGGCCTCAGACATCATACGCTCCCAACAATGGAAAAGGCAGACTTGATAAGCCAGGGAGAGGGGGCTAAACCTGGAATCCTGAGAAGAAATTCATGTTAAAAATGAAACAGACAATGGGGCTGGGTGTGGTGGTTCATGCCTGTAATCCCAGCACTTTGAGGCCAAGGTGGGCAGATCACCTGAGGTCAAGAGTTCGAGACCAGCCTGGCCAACATGGTGAAACCTCCTCTCCAATAAAAATACAAAAATTAGCTGGGCGCTGTGGTGCACTCCTGTAATCCCAGCTACTCAGGAGGCTGAGGCAGGAGAATCGCTTCAGCCTGGGAGGTGGAGGTTGTATCGAGCCGTGATCACGCCACTGCACCGCAGCCTGGGTGACAGAGCCAGACTCCGTCACAATAAAAAAAAAAAGAAAGAAAGAAAGAAATAGACTATGGGAAAAAATCATGACTTCAGTTGCCAAACAGGGTATTCTACAATTTCATTAAGTGTCCACAGCAAGGTCCAGCATCTTATAGGCACCACAAACACCTCCTGAGAACCACATCCCGAAGCATAGGAAGGCCCGTCTCACCGTGACTGCCCCAGCCCAGCCCAGCCCCTGCGGCATCTCCCTCCCTACAGTGACAGTGTGCCCTCCAGGGCAGCTGGGATCCCACCCCACAACAGCACACGCTCCTCCTAGCTCCCTACCAGGAGCACAGAGTTAGAAGGGACCCCTGCCCTCTCCTCGTCCCACCAGCACATCGCCACTGTGCTCTCTTCCCCGGCACATGGATTTTTCAAAATTCTAAATAAAATCGAGTAGCTGTGAAAGATTGGGGCACTGCTCTGCCTACCACAGGCAAAGTGTTTCCCATCAAGCCAAAATTTCAGCTACACACACATGATGGCTTTAAAGGTTCCTCTTTAAAGTGAGAATGATCGCATCACTCCAGCTCTAAACAGAGAGCCAGTGCCTAGCACAAGGCACCCAGGCAGGAGGCGGCTGCCCTAGGAAACCCTCCTCCGTTCCAGTTTTGGAGATAGGAGGCCCCAACTCGGTTTGAGATGACCCAATCTGAACTCAAAGTCCGTCCCTTGAAAGTTGCCACCGCAAGACCCACCTGTCCCTCACCTCTCCAATCCCCGTTCCTGAGCCCCACACAGAGCCACTCCTGACCCCAACACAGAGCTGCTGGTCCCTGAGAGCGGTGGCGGCTGCTGCCTGCCTGACCCCTCAGATGCTGCACAGGAGCAATCGCCAGGCTGTGCGACCAAGTACTGCGCTGAGGCTGGAATCAGCAAAGATGGCTTCGCCCTCTGGGTCTTGGGCTCTTTGAAATCTGCCACCCAGGAGGGTGACTGACTCCACCATCCATAACTCATCAGTCTAAACCCATCTCATCAATAGGCTCCATGAATTTCCGCCATGAACTAATCAAACTTTGGAACTCTGGTGCCAGATTTATTGAGATTCAATCTCTTGCCTGGATCCAGGGACAAATTCCCACCCTGTCGCTCAGCCCGAGCCCACCTCGAGCCCCGGTGGGACCCCCGCCTGCCTCTCCTCTCCAGGGTCGCAGCACCTTCAAACCCTCAGCTGCAGTCCCAGGCAGCAGCATTTCCTACCTGAGCACACACTAGGCAAAAGGGGCGTCCTGGCAGTCGCTGACCTGCGGGGACACTGCCCCGAGGCGCCTCATGGCTGCTATTTAGAGAGGCGGCAGCAGTCCCAGGCGCAGGGAGAAGCCTCGGCCTGGGCCATCAGATAGCCCAGCAAATCAGGCTGCCCGGCCAGCTGCAGCGTTATCTCTGGGCGGCTTCCTGTCTGCACTGCGTCCACCAGGGTCCTGCAGAGTGGCCTGCCGGGTGTGGGAACACCAGGAACTCCCTGAGGCCGGCTTCGGGGAGGGGGCAGGACTTTCCGGGGGAGGCCCCTGCTGACTCCCCAACCCAAACACCACCATCCTGTTTCTTTGTTGGCTTTCTCTTTTTTTATTTTTGGAAAAAACAAGCATGACTACTGTGGAAGTTCAGAAGGGTGACGCTCATTGCCTGGCACCGACCCGACAGAAGCCAGCGCAGCCGACCAACTTCCTTCCTCGTTCCTATGGGACTTTGCTTCAAAAGGCAGAGCTTGACCACGGCCTGTGGAGACCTGGCCCCAGGTGATCTTAGGGGCTTCTGTGCAGCCTGAATCTTGCATGTCTTAGGGGATAGTGGAACCTTCTTTAAGAAAAAAATACATATAAAATTACAATCGTAAGAAGCTAGGTTCAAAGGTGAATATTTATTTAGACAGAAAAATCATAAAATAAAAATGTAAAAATGGAGAAATTCCACACAAATCATAAAATCCAGGAAAAATAATGGATTCTTTATTTTAAATATATTATTAAAGCTATACATAATGAACCACTTCCTGAAAACGCAAACTATCCAGCATGCCCAGTGTGAAAAAGATAATTCAATAGCCCTCTAAGGAGGAAGGGAATTGAATTTGCAATTTAAATACTCCCCAGAAAGACATTTCAAGGGCAGATGGTTTCACAGGAGAATCTACCAAACGTTTAAAGAGAAATTAACACCAATTCTACACATCCTCTTCCAGAAAATAGAAGAGGAGGGAATATTTACCAATTCATTTATAAAGTTGATATTACCCTCATATCAAAACCAAAGAGAACAAAAAAACTATAGACCAATAACCCTCATGAACAGAAATGAGAAAATCCTTAAAAAAATATTCACGAACAGAATTCAGCAATATAGAAAAAGATTTATGAACTCTGACCAAGCGGGGTTTCATCCAGGAATGGGAGGCTATGTCAGTATTCAGAGCTCCACTGACGCAACGCACCACAGTCACAAGGTAACAAAGAAAACCCCGTGAGTGTATCAGCGCTGCAGAAACAGCATCTGGCATAAGTCAGCACCCTTTCACAATAAAAACTCTCAACCTGATGAAGGCCATCTTTCATAAAAACTCTCATACTTGGCCAGGCGCGGTGGCTCACGCCTGTAATCCCAGCACTTTGGGAGGCCGAGGTGGGTGGATCATGAGGTCAAGAGATTGAGACCATCCTGGTCAACAAGGTGAAACCCCGTCTCTACTAAAAATACTAAAATTAGCTGGGCACGGTGGCGCGTGCCTGTAATCCCAGCTACTCAGGAGGCTGAGGCAGGAGAATTGCCTGAACCCAGGAGGCGGAGGTTGCGGTGAGCCGAGATCGCACCACTGCACTCCAGCCCGGGTAACAAGAGCAAAACTCCGTCTCAAAAAAAAAACTCTCATACTTGATAAAGTATGATGTTAGCAAAGCCACAGCTGACATCATACTTCATGGGCAAAAACAGAATGTTTCCTTCCTGGGATCAAGACACAGCAAGGATGTCCACTCTCACCTCTTACTCAATGCAGTGCTGAAGTTCTAGGCACAATGGCAGGGCATGAAAAGGAAATAAACAGCGTGTAGATTCAGAAACTGAAATAAAACTGTCCCTGTTGCAGATGACATGGTTGTCGACTTTGAAAATCCCAGAGTCTACAAAAGAGCTCCTGGAAACTATTAAATCAGTGCAACAGGTGACAGGATACAAGGCAATCATTTAAAAACCAAGTAGCCGGGCGCCGTAGCTCACACCTACAATCCCAGCACTTCGGGAGGCTGAGGTGTGCAGATTACCTGCGGTCAGGAGTTCGAGACCAGCCTGACCAACAAGCCAAAACCCTGTCTCTACTAAAAATACAAAACTCAGCCAGGCGTAGTGGTACACGCCTGCAATCCCAGCTACTCAAGAGGCTGAAGCAGGAGAATTGCTTGACTCCAGAAGGCAGAGGTTGCAATGAGTTGAGGTACTCCAGCCTGGGTAACAGAGTGAAACTCTATCTCAAAATAAGTAATAAAAATAAACTGTGAAAAACCAAGCAGATTTCTATAAAATAGTAATGAACTCATAGACACTAAAATTCAAAATAATATTTACGATTGCTTTTAAAAAGGGATACTTAGGTGTAAATCTAACAAAACATATATAGAACTTACATGCTGAAAACTACAAACTGTTGCTGAAAAGCTCAAAAGAGATCTGATAAACAGAGAGACATGTCGTCTTTATAGATTAGGAGACTTGTCCAGGCACAGTGGCTCATGCCTGTAATTCCAGCACTTTGGGAGGCTGAAGTGGGGGATCACTTGATTTCAGGAGGGCAAGACCAGCCTGGGCAACATGGTGAAACCCCGTCTCTAACAAAAACAATACAAAATCAGCTGGGCCTGGTATCACGGTCCCAGCTGCTCAGGAGGCTGAGGTGGGAGGATCACCTGAGCCTGGGAAGTGGATGTTGCAGTTAGCTGAGATTGTGCCACTGCACCCCAGCGGGGTGACAGAGTGGTACCCTGTTTCAAAAATAATAATAAAAATGTAAAAGTATAATGGAACTGAAGAATACAATACAGGAACTCCGAGAAGTAAAAAAAAAAAAATGTAAAAGTATAGTTTAGGAGACTCAACAGAGTAAAAAAATGTTGATTCTCCCCAAAATTAATATACCGTACAAGCTTAACACAACTTCTTTTTAAGATTTGGACACAACACAATTTCTATCAAAATCATAACAATAATCTTTGTATATATAGACAAGACTCTCTAAAATTTTATGAAAAGAGAAAGGAATTAGAACAGCTGAAACAATTTTGAAAAAGAATAAAGTAGGAGGAATCAATCTACGCAATGTATACATTACACAGTGGAGCAGAACAGAGAGCCCAGAAGCAGATCTGCATCTATACACTCCACTGCTTTTTCACAAAAGCACAAAAGCAACTCAATAGAGGGAAGATGGCGTGTGCCACAAACGGTGCTGGAGCCACTGGACATCCGCTGGCAAACAAGATAACCCCAATATAACTATCATACAAAAGCTATCTCAAAACAGATCATGGGCTTCGACGCAAAATGTAAAGTTGCAAAGCTTTTAGAAAAAAGCACAGAAGAAAAATCTTCAGGCTCTAAGGCTCAGCAAACCATTCTTTGATATTCTCACATCAAAGTACAATCTCCAAAAGCAATAACTGATAAATTGAACTTCGTCAAAATTAAAACCTTTTGCTCTAGAAAAGATCCCATTCAGAAGATGCAAAGACAAGCTACAGGATGGGAGGAAGCTTAGTTTTTAAAAAGCTGCCTGATGGCCCTTACGTTTTTGTGTTTGTTGACGGAGTCTCACTCCAGGCTGGAGTGCAGTGGCACGATCTCAGCTCACTGCAACCTCCACCTCCCAGGTTCAAGCAATTCTCATGCCTCAGCCTCCTGAGTAGCTGGAATTACAGGCGCCTGCCATCGCTACTGGCTAATTTTTGTATTTTTAGTAGAGACGGGGTTTCACCATGTTGGCCAGGCTGGTCTCGAACTCCCAAAGCGCTAGGATTACAGGCATGAGCCACCGTGCCCGGCCCAGCCCTTATGATTCTATGTTATTTGGCAGTATATTCTTTCATTGCCTGCTCCCATGAACACAAATTTCTATAGAAAGAATAGAAGGTGACTCAGCATTTGCTCCATCTTGCATGGTTATTTAAATTTTTTATTACTGGTAGCTTCAAAACAGTTTACTTCAGCTCCACAAGCCTTCACCAGTAACGTCATGAGCATCTGCAGTGGTTGTCACATTCGGGGAAGCCTCTGCCAGTTTTCTTTCATATATGAAGTGTACGATTTCAGGCATTTCACCTTTTGGGGTTTGTTTTGTGCAGAGTAACCCTAGCCTGTGAAATGACCACACCGCTGACCAGTTGTAGCTCATGGCCTCTTCCTACACCGTGAACCACTGAGCATATCCAGCTGAAATCCACAATCATATAACCCCGCCTCCACTTCGGTGTGCTCTCCCACCCCTCGGACTCGGGGGACGCTCGAAAACGTGCAGGAGACATTTTTAAGTTGTCAATACTGGGGAGATGGTACTGGCTTCTAGTGGGAAAGGCCAGCGATGCTGCCAAGCACCCCACAACGGCTGCGATGGCCCCACAGCATCCAATGCTCCAGCCCTAAAAGCCAACGGTGCCACGGTGGGGAAACGCTGAGCCGGAGCCAAAGATGGCGGGGCCGCTTTCGCAGCACTCAGGGGAGGCTGTGACGAAGCCAGACAGCGGCCTTCACTCATTGTGCTTCATATTTTCTTTGTGCTAACTGTGTAAAAATATCTGACCACAGAACTCAATGCTAGGGCCCCCAGCCGGATGTTGATGGCCTCGAGGTGAATCTGCCACTGTGGTCTGAAGCAGGTGCAGGGCACAGGGTGCGCAGGCCGGGCCCATCACTCCATGTCCTGTGGGCAGCCATCCTTCTGCCCGTGCGGGACACAAAGTGGGGAGAAGAGAATGGAACTGGCGCCAGCTGGGATCAGTCACAATCACTCACAAACGGAGGCCTCGCAGCTAGCTACCCTCAGCAGGGCATCCTCACCACCGTCCGAGTTCAACAATGAGAGAGCTTGCCCAAGATCACAGTTCACAAAAAACGTGCCAGTTGGAGTCTGGGCCCAGAACTAAAGCTGCACTTGTCACTGAGCAAGGCAGCGAGGACCACGTGGACCGTCCGAAACCCGACCGCCCGGCTTCTGCTCCACAGCTGACGTGGGTGTTTTCCATTTGTTTCTGTGTTCCTGAAATATTAAAGGCTTTTTTTTTTTAATGCCAATAACCTGGTCATTACTAGCAGTTACATAAATAAGTGATCATTTAACTTCCCATCAGTGGAAGCGGGGTCAGACTAACAACCGTGCTCATACCTGCACTGGGGACAGGGACCAGGCCTCCCCCACTCCCTTTTCCTCCCCTCCCCGAAGGTTTTTCTTGAAAGTGTTTAAGTTGTGGCTGCTGGGAACAGCCTTTTGCCTAGTGAACCCTGACCCTCTCATGGAGCCGGTCCACACCAGGGGGCCAGGACAAGGCTCTGGTGCAAATCCCAACTCGTATTTACATTTCTCAGAGATAACTCAGAAATCTGGACAGCAGGAGCCGGATGAAAACCCTGCTTGTCTCTGGATGGGAATTCTCACTGGGGTCACACCATACGTGCTGCCAAATCTGTGGGACAGTGTCCCATGAGGACATTAAAGGCGGCCACTTCTCCCTGTCCCCGAGTACCCTGAGAGAGTGGAGCCCCGCTGGCCTCCCGCTTCAGCAGTGTGGGGCTGGGCCTCCATCCTCTCCTGGGCACTGCCCTCTCACTGTGCCACTCTGGCAGCACACGGCCATCCAGGAGCACAGCCTCACTGCATGGAAGCATGAGCTCAGGCAGGGCCTGTCGCCACCGTATCACCAGAGACTATCAGGGAGTCAACTACCAGAGGTCCTCAAACTCGAGCCTGCATGAGAATCAAGTGGAAAACTTTTTAAACACATCACCAGGCCCCACCCTATACCTGCCGATAGGATCCGCTGCCATGGGGCCTGAGTGTTCTCATTTCTATCACTTCCCAAGCAACGCCAAGGCTGCTGGGCCTGGGACCTCATGTTGGGAACCACTACCTACCTCAGGGGGCCCTTGTAAGGATTTGAGCTGATCCCTTCAAGTGTCTACCCCAGCACCTGACCCACATTGACAGATGCTCAGTGAATGAATACACAGGAGCTGCTCTGGTGTCCCCAAACACCATCCCACTTGCCCCCACTGTCTGCCACACTAGACACTCCTGCTCCAGCACAGGCCTTGAAACTGAAAATCAAGTTAACCCCAGGCCAGACACAGTGGCTCACGCCTGCAATTCCCGTACTTGGGAGGCCAAGGAGGGAGGCTCACTTGAGCCCAGGAGTTCAAAATCATCCTGGGCTAGCAAGACCCCCGTCTTTACAAAAAAAATTTTAAAACTTAGCTGGGCATGTGCCTGTAGTCTCAGCTACTCAGGAGGCTGAGGTGGGAGGATTGCTTGAGCTCGGAGTTTGAGGCCGCATTGAGCCACGATCGCACCTCTGCACTCCAGCCTGGGAGACAGAGCAAGACTCTGCTTTGAAAAAGTAAAGTCGGCCGGGCGCGGTGGCTCACGCCTGTAATCCCAGCACTTGGGGAGGCCAAGGCTGGCAGATCACGAGGTCAAGAGATCAAGACCATCCTGGCCAACACGGTGAAACCCCGTCTCAAAAAAATTAAAAAAATGTAAGAAAAAGTAGAGTCTAAACTGATTTGGTTTTCAAGGACAGGAAAACGCTTTCATTCATCTTTACTAAGTGCCAAATACTCTGAGAACTTGTCTGTATTTACTGATTCCTTAAACGTGTATTAAAGTCAGTGACTTTTAGAATTCAAGGGACCCTCAGACTCCGCTAGTGCAGGCTAACCCTTTCATCTCATAACGGGAAGCCTGAGGTCCAGAGAGGATGCAGCTCGTCTGCAGGCCACAACCCAAACACAGGGAGGGACTCCCCACCCGCCCGTCAAGCTCCCCCAGAGCTTCAGGTGAAGACTAAGCCACATCAGATTAAGATGCAGTCAGTGGTGCTTTCACGGTCCCTAAGTGGAACGCTCAGGTACTATTACAGGCTTGCAGAATGCCAGAGAGCACAGGAGTACACCCGGCAGATGGTAAGGGAGTTCAGGTGTTTCCCAACTATGGAGACGTGCTTAGGCTACTGAGCCATAAACTTAAAGGGTAAAACGACAAATTTTACTTATATCACAGTAAAGAAAGTGCCTGGTACATTTTTAGTTTGAACCATGCAAAAGCGCCGACATTCAGCTGTTTCTGCGCTATCATGTGACGGCACCCTGCGTCACATCCCGAACACACGCAGAACCTCACAGGCATCAAGCGTCCTCGCAGACACCCTCCCGCTGAAATCCTCCAGCGCACACAGGACGCTACTGGTTCTGAAGACAGCTGTGCATACACGAATTCGGAATTTTGAAAAACAAGCCTGAAACAGAGTACTGCGAATATATTTTTTATTTAGTCATTCTGTTTACAATTGAAACTCTGGGAATTCAAAATTAACATCCTTGCCCGTGAGCTTCTTATAGACACCAGAAAAAGTTTCAACCTACAAGAAAAGAAAGAATTCATCACAAAACTTTGAAAAATACACACTCTGCTTAAAACCTAATCATTTTGTGAAACTGCACCTTCTATGGTTTTTCTCCTCAGCAACGAAGTACTGAGAAGACAAGGGAACACTCAGGGCACACACTCAGCAGTCTTCCCACCGGGACAGACGCCTCTCCAATGGCCCATGACAGGACTCTACACCACTCTGCTCCTCCGTGCCACATGGACAAAGCCACCAGGGGACCCCAGCAGTCGTCCACATGGTTATGTCCTGATCAGTTATGACAGCTAATACCATCATCATCACCCACCCTAACTTACAAGAATACACAGCCTAACTAAAAGGCAGTACAGAATTGTTCTGCTTCCAAAAGGTACAGAGAATTTCAAGTGTTGGATTCTTGAAACATCTCCATTTCAAACCTGACACATAACCCAAAGGAGAGCAGACTGAAGTGCAGGTGAAAAGAGCTGGCCCGGAGTGTACACTCATTGCTCTGGGGCCACATGAGGCAGGTTACACTACAGTCTGCTCGCACTGTGGCTGAACCTTTCCATGAGAACGTGTTGACCTGTTACCTTGTGTTCCACATTGTTCTGCTGTGCTTTGTCCAAATGAACCTTTATGAGCCGGCTGCCATCCAGTTTCACGCGGATTCTCTTGCCCACAATTTCACTTGGGAAGACCAGGTCCTCAAGGATTGCATCGTGCACAGCTGTCAGTGTACGGCTGAAAGAATAGTTCAAAAGTAAGTAGCCAAGCAATGCCCGCCCTCCAATTCCAGAGGGCGCTTCTTAAATGAAAATGCAAATCCCAGATTCCTTGAGTCAAATTAACCCTCGTTTTCAAATAAGCTTGTTATACTTCACGTACCAAACTAAAGCCTTTGGCTACCTAGAAAAGGGTAACAGCTTATTGATTTATTTAAAAGCTTAGTCCATTTTTAAATGTTACTCTGGGGTAAACTACAAACTCACCAAGGCAATGAGTGACCATCTCAATGTGAGATTAGTGAGGCCTTTTATACATCTTTCTTTTCACTTGTTTGACTTCCTAACTAAATCACTACAGTAACCTTCTGCTTATCTCCAAAACGACCCCCTTCGAATGTCAAGGTAATCTTTCTAAAAAACGGATATGACCACATAATTTACCTATAAAAGACCCTTCAAGAGCTCTCCATCTAGGTCTATCTAAGACCTCCAAGATACCATCAGAACTCCTTGTTCTCTAGGACCAAATGAGGCAACATTGATCCCAAGGGCACTGTTCCATCACCAGCTCCAGGACAGCTGCCCCTCCCCGCTCATGTGGGTCTTTGGTTTTCAACCCATCAGCGTCACACAAACTGCCAGTGCAATCTTGCTCCTTACCTGAGTATCTCTATCAAGTTCAAAACCTACCTACCTGCTACCTAACAAATGAGGAGTTTCAATTAACTGCAAGCTTTTGACACAGTACCATGTACCATGAGACACGAGGAGTAAGTGGACGCGGTTCTCAGCTTCAGCATTTACGGAGCTGCCTCGTGCGTGGTTAGCTGTCTAGGTCCCACCCTCAGCAGCGAACAGCTACTCATTTGTATTTCCTACCCGGCAGCGTCCACATACACCACTAACATTTTCTGGTGGCTCTCGATTTGACTGCCAACATCTTAATGTTCCACAGACACAAAGGGCAAAAGCTGGAACAAAGTCCATTCCCCAAAGCCCTCATCACCTTTCCAAAAGCAAATAAATCAAGACAACTGGACTGTTCATTGCACCTCATTAATTAAGCACATTCTTACGATACTAGGAAAGCACGCAACACGGAAACCAGATTCCAATATTATCTACTATCTTTTTACATGGGGAACAATGGCACCACACGTCAACTACCACAAACCACAGGGACTGGAGCGCTTCAGAGGAAAACCCTGCTATACCCGAAAACAGGATCAATGTTGGCATTTAACCTGAGTTAGATAAAGGTAGCTGTAAGGGGCAGGGAAAATAAATCTGAAAGTGGGAAGCCAGATCGGAAAAGTGGTAGAATCGCTATAACCTACCAACCAGGCTTAGTGTGAAGGAGGAAAGGCTTTCCATGTACACGCTAGATCACACTAGAAACACTGTGAAGCCTTCGTCTGAGAAAATTTCGAAAACACACATTTGTACTGAGAGGGAACTAAAGCTATAGATTTGAGGGACAGTCCTTTAGCTGTGTAGAAAGCAAAGGGACTGGTTTTTTTTCCTTTTTCAGACAGAATCTTGCTCTGTCGCCCAGGCTAAAATGCAGTGGTGCCATCTCAGCTCACTGCAATCTCTCCACCTCCCTGCGTTTTTTATTTGTATTTTTTATTCGTGCATACCAGCATCCAGATCAGGTTTAAGCAGTACTTATCCTGCCTCGGTCTCCTGAGTAATTGGGATTACAGGTGCCCACCACCACACCCAGCTATTTTTTTATTTTTAGTAGAGCCGACGTCTCACAATGTTGGCCACGCTGGTCTTGAACTCCTGACCTCAGGTGATCCACCCACCTCAGCGTCCCAAAGTGCTGGGATCACAGGCATGAGCCACCGCGCCCGGCCAAAGGGGCGGTTTTTATACTCATTTCCTAACTCAGGTTCTCAGAACTAAGTTTCCAAAACCCTCTTTAAGTGTCATGATTTTTTTAAATTACATTTTCTAGGTCACAGAATTCTAGTTCTAGAAAACCTGGCACCTACCTTACCACATACCATAATTCAATACAGTAACAGATTACAAGATTCCCAACACTTTCTATTTTCTAGTGTTCGAACCAGACTGATTTTTTTTTAATCGCCTTAGCATTACTAGGTTTAGCTGCAATGAGCAAATTCTCCAAGCCCAGACCGGTTTTCTCATCCACTGAGGAAGCAATACAAATTATCCATTTCATAGCGTACAGGCATAACGACATCTGTTTTCTCAAACTCATCCCTAAGGGAAGAGTCCCCAGGGATTTAATAGTTCCCGTTTGTAAAACAATGTACAGAGACTACCAAAATACCAAAAGATCTAGTTAGAGACAACTACCAATATTTGAGTTTATGCCAGATAACCTGTCAGTCATCAAGTTCACACATCATTTCCATTGGCATCTTCAACTGCAGTGATGTTCTAACCTGCGATGTTGTCATCAAAATTCACCTAGGTTTTTCACTTCCAATCCACAGCAAAAACAAAAATCAAAGATAAATCCAAGCCCACGCCCACTATGTCTAGCAGACTTCATCACACAGAATTAATGGTTTCCTTCTCATCATTCCTATCCTGTGCACAATCGGAGGAAATCATCTCCTCTTGTGACAGCACTGACCTACTAGACATAAAATGACTAAGAGAATACATTTGTTTTACATCTAAAAGTCTAAAACCCATCACGTGCAACTATAGAGGAAACCAAATGCTGTTACTCAAAAATTCCCACTTGAGTATCTTGTTTTTATAAACCAAAACTTACACAAATTGAGTTGTTAATAAGAGGGGTACACACATTTCAGAAACTACTAAAATACTCACCTCCTGGGACGCTTTTGTTTATTTTTTGTACGGCTTTTTCGAGTTGGTTTAGGCAGAATTCTCCTCTGCAAAGTAAAAATTACCATGTGACAAAATTAAGACCTTACATTTACAAACAACTAAAACTGTCAAACTGCTTTAGAAGCAAGAAGAGTGGCAGGGTAAGTTCAAAGTTCGAGAACGCTGCACAACCTAGACCAGACAATTTACTGAGAAAACCCTTCTACGGAGCTTCTGCCGATTCTTGAATAACTCAGAATCCATAGCTTCTATTAATACGCCTTTCCCCATGCCTGCTGAGCCAGAACACTGCTTCTTTTCTTCCTGATCAGTCCTGGCACTTCATTCCCCATAGACTTCAGCTCATGCCAAAGCCAGATCTGAGCTGTAACAGGTTTCTTAGATCGATCATCTCAGTAAGCAACACACCACACTTGTGAAATTTAATTTTAAATGCAGGAAATCATTTCTATAACTCAAAACACAACAGACTGTCACGTTACAGATTTCTTGTTTCAACTCTTAACTAAGAGTATACTTTTTCTTTTTAAAACTTCTTATTTTTCTGTTTTTTGTAGACAGGGTCTCACCATGTTCCCCAGGCTGGTCTCTAAAGTGATCCACCTGCCTCCACCTCCCAGTGCTGACAGGAGCCCAGGAGCCCCCGTGCCCTGCCTGTACTTTGTCTACCCAGTGCAATCAACTTACCCAGCAGCCTGCCACTTCGGATTCATGAAAAGATTGTTTTCATGATTCCAACTACCAGTGCAGTCTAAACACAAGCAATTTTAGCAAAATTCAAGAACAGAAACATGTACAGCGGAACAGATACCTGGGCAATAAAGACAACATGCTTCCCACTGAACTTTTTCTCCAATTCGCGTACCAGCCGGACTTGGATTTTCTGGAAAGATTTTAGTTGAGGAACAGGAACAAAGATTATGATAGCTTTCCGGCCACCACCAACTTCAATTTCCTAAAGAAAAAAAAAATCCCCTTTATCAACTGCTTCAGAAAGTAATTAGAGTGTAAGAAGACCTCACCATTAACAGCGTAGCTGCACTACAAACGAACGCTGGTTTTGAGTTAACGTTCAGTGGAACCTTTGGAGACGTTCTCATCTCTCACCAATCTTATTTCCTTATTCCAGGAAGGAGGGAGAACGAGCAGGCCTGAGGTCAATCACTGCCACTTCTGCGCGCCCGCACGCGGCAACTCTGGCCTCAGTGTAGAGAAGCCCGCATCCGAGGAGCTCCCCCAAAGCTCTTTACCGTATTTATCATTCGGTCAGGGCTAATAAGGTCCCCAAGCGGCCCAGGCCCTCCCTGCTCCACGTTTCTCCCCTGCCTGCACGTTGACAGCGAGAACTTAAAAGTGCAGGGGACCTGCAACCCCACTCCCTGCACCGGGGCGGTATCACTCCCTAACAACACGGCGGAGCCTGAGTTCAGCTGAGGCAGCCAGGCGGCAAGTCGCCATCAACCGTAACCCACGGCACGCAACAAGCCTCCCAGGCAGTGCGCGGGGGACGCGCCGCGACCTCCCTTCCAGCCGAGGGAGCCCCAGCTTACCTTGGCTGCCGTAATATTCAGCTCCCTGAGCTGAGCCTTGAGGTCCGAGTTCATCTCCAGCTCCAGAAGAGCCTAAGAAGCAGACAACAGCAGGGCCGAGCCTGAGCGCGCGTCCGAGCACCCCTGGCCCCGCACACTTGCGGCCGCCTTCCCTCCCGGGCGGGGCGCCTCCACCCACCCCGGACCCCGGGGAGCCCTCTCACCTGGGAGATGCCGGACTCGAACTCGTCTGGCTTCTCGCCGTTGGGCTTCACGATCTTGGCGCTCGAACTGAACATGGCTTTCTCCTGGCAGAACAGGAGGCACAGCGGTCAGCGTTACGCGGCCCGGGCTGCAGGCGCCGCTGGCTCGCCCTCCTGCCCGCACCGCACCGCACCGCACCGCACCCCGCTCCCGGCCCCGCTCGCCCCGCAGAAGCCATCGGAGGGCACAGGCCGGGTAATCGGCTGTATCTCCACCCGGTAAGCAAGGCCCGCCGCTCCAGGGCTGACTCCAGAAGGCGCTTTCTTCAACTCAGGCGAAAAAGTCCGACCCGACCGGTGACGGCCAACGTACCTTGGCGAGTGCCGACTTAGGAAAAGACCCAAATCTCGCGAGAGCACGTCAAAATCCGGCGGCGGAAGGGAAGAGGCGGAAACAGCGCGAGGAGGAAGGTGAAAACCGGAAAACCACTAAGAAGCGGTCGCAGGCTAGAGAGTCCCAGGAAGCGGCTCCGGGGACGAGTGTCTTGGCAACGCTTTTCCGTCCTAGGATTCGTAGTTTGGTGCCGTTCCCGAGCGTTCCGGTACCCGCTCCCAAGGTTCCTGTCTTCATTGTAAGTGGTCAGGCGGGAACCGGTCTCGTCCCAGCCCTGGTCCTGGGCGAGAGGAGGAGACCGAAGAAGACCAACTTCGGCAACCTCCGGAGACGGGACATTTAAAAAGGCTAACTTGCCTGGGCGCTGAGGCTCACGCCTATAATCCCAGCACCTTGGGAGGCCGAGGCAGGAGGATCACTTGAGCTCAGGACCCTGCCTGGGCAACATGGCGAGACCCCAGGCCTACCCACCCCCCACCCCCCAAAAATTAGCCTGTCATGGTGGCGCGCGCCTGCAGCCCCAGCTACTCCGGAGGCCGAGGCGGGAGGATAGCCGGACCTGAGAGCTCAAGGCTGCAGTGAGCCGAGGTCGCACCGCTGCACTCCAGCCTGGGTGACAGAGCAGGACCCTGTCTAAAAATAAATTTTTAAAAAAATTATGAGGCCTTCACTCTATGCTAGTACTGTACTAGGTGCTAATTATTAAGTAAAACCGAGTGAACTCTTGCGCTCATGGAGCTTACAGTTCAGTGGAGAAGACGTTACGTAAACGGTATGACTAGATATATAATGACAAATTGTAATAACTTAGATAACGGTAAAATGAGAGATTGGGGAGGAATTACTTATGCTTTCCGAAGTCGGGAATCCTGGAACAGGATGGCATTAACCTGAGACATGAAGAGCCGCAGGGTCTGTCGCCTGGGGAAGAGCATTCCAGACGGGAAGGAACTCATTCCCAATGATCCGGCTGTGGACAAGTAATTTAATCCGAGCTTCAGTTTCCTCTTCTGTCAAATGTCATGCAAGAGTTATTTTCGGCAGTGGGCCAGGCACGGTGAAAAATGCAAAAACATTACACTAGGTGCCCTCTCAGGATTCCCAGCCACCTTCACTGAGCAGAGATGGTATTTATCTCACATTTGTAATGCCAGGTATGCTCCCAGCCCATGCTTCTCTAACAATGTTTTTTAAAAAGGGCAAGTGACTATCTCCTTGGAAAATTAAGGGGTAACTTGAGGTTTTTTCCAAATAGAAAGGAAACTACAGCTGCATCTACAGTCTCATCTGGGCAGTCATTCTGCGGCCCCTTGTGGAACTAGCTGCATTTCCTTACTCCACATGCACTTGTCGACCTGGGTTTTCTCTCTGCTGCTCTATAAAAGTAGCAGTCTAAAAATTAATCCTGTTCATCTTTCTCTGTGAACCTATGAATTGAGAAAAAATTAAAATGTTTTCTGGTTTCCAGTCCTTTGTTGAATGGGGTTCCCCATCTTAGGGGAAAGCATTCAGTCTTTCACCATTGAGGATAATATTAGCTCTAGGGTTTTTGCAGATATTTTTAATGTAATTCAGGAAATTCTCCTCTATTCCCGCATTTCTGAGTTTGTTTTTTTTTTTAAATCATGAATGGATGTTGGAGTATGTCAAATGCTTTGTGTCTATGAACTAATATGATGGTGCGAGTTTTTCTTCTTAGCCTGTTAATATGCTAGACTACAAACTCCACTTGGTCATGACATATAATTATTTTCCTAATTGCTGCTTGTGATCATTGAGTATTTTTTTGTATCTGTGTAAGGGAGAAAAACTGTCTGGAGGCAGGAACATAAGGCTGATTCACACTTCATGTACATAGGGCATACCCCAAGTAACCAGTGGAATCTTCTAGAGGATATTTAAACTCCCAGAAATGCTGTAACAGGCCTTTGGGTCCCTGTGCCCGGGCTGCTCCCATGCTGGAGTATACTTTCATTTGCTCTACATCGATCAGCCTTGGCCACTGTTCTCCCTGGATGCTCAGATTGTCTCAATTGTGGCAGGAGGGGCCCCTCTTAGATAAGCACCTGAGTCTTGTCATCTCCATGAATGTCTGAACGTCGTCCTGTTTACTGGCATAAGATGTTCCAGGCTCCTCTTGTAATTTTCTGCCTGAGACATAGAATGAGCCTTTTCTCCTAGAAGTGCTGATACTTTTTTTTTTTCCCAAAAAATAGTACTGGAGACAGAATCTTCGCAGCAGGAAGCATTGTGGGGGTCCTCATAAGCCATTTCAGTGGGCAGAGCTTAAAAAGATGCATTTAAAATAATTTTTTGGTAAAAGATACAAGTTCACATTGACATTCTCAATCCACTTCTAACAGGACAGTTCCTTCTGAAAGCCTCAGCTCTATCATAGCATCTCTTTTTCTCCTGTAATAAAAAACTTGAGAAACACAGAAATACAATTACTTCCTTTATCTGACAATAGGAGAGAATACATTCGAAGTAACAATTCAGGCGGGCCGCAGTGGCTCACACCTGTAATCCCAGCACTTTGGGAGGCCAGAGTGTGTGGATCACTTGAGGTCAGGAGACCAGCCTGGCCAACATGGTAAAGCCCCATCTCTATTAAAAATACAAAAATTAGCCAGGTGTTGTGGTACATGCCTGTAGTCCCAGCTACCTGGGAGGCTGAGGCATGAGAATCACTTGAACCCAGCAGGTGGAGGTTGCAGTGAGCCAAGATTGTGCCACTGCACTACACTGCACTCCAGCCTGGGCAACAGAGGGAGACTTTGTCTCAAATTTTTTAAAAAAATTCAATATATATATTTTTTTGAGGCAGGGTCTTGCTCTATTGCCCAGGCTGGAGGGCAGTGGCATGATCATGGCTCACTATGGACTTAACCTCCCCAGGTTCAGGTGATCCTCCCATCTCAGTCTCCCAAGTAGCTGGGACTACAGATGTGTGCCACCATGCCCACTTAATTTTTTGTATTTTTTAGGGGGGGACGTTTCACCCTGATGCCCAGGCTAATCTCAAAATCCTAAACTCAAGCAGTTTGCCCACCTCAGCCTCCCAAAGTGCTGGGATTACAGGCATGAGCCACCAATTCAATATTAATATAACCCATACAATTACTTAATAAAATTCAAAAGTGTCTCGTGCGACCTGCAGTGTGTTTGCATTTTCTGTGGTTTCCTCTTCATCTCCCACTCTGCTGTTGGTTCTCTGGTAGTTTAGGTCAATGGTTTCGGCTCATTTTCAGTTTGAGGATTAAGTTTACGAAAGGGGTTGGCTTTCAGCTACTAGAAGAGAGACGGTTCTATTCTACCTTTCAGTGATGGAAAGAACTTCAACAGCTCCATCTCCAAAATTATTTAAATGGATTAATTTAGCTACTGTGCTATAGCTGGCCTAGAGTTAGAGCCTGAATAACACCATTTTATACAAGACAAAGCTGTTTTTCAGAAACAAGTTGTAACGGCTGCCCCATTCTCCTCACAACAACTGCTGGCCTTGGCTTCTGTAGATAAAACTGCTAACTTGCTCTGCAAAATGCTCACTATGTAAAGCCGCTTACCTTTTCTTATCAGTACCTGCCAGAATTGCTGGCCTTTGCTTACTGGTAATGACCAGAATAAGCAGCCCAAGCTAATTCTATCCTGGCCCCTGCGACTTGTAATAAGTAACTAAGATCTGTGGATTCTACCACTGCCCAGACAATGTGTACACTAATGCTTATCTTGACTTCAGTAAACCACTTAGGTAACAATGGAAGTGACAAGTCCCCTGGCCCTTGGAATGTCCAGAGACCCGCACCCTCCTCTCTGCCTGGGAGGTGATTTACGGAATCCCCTGGCCCTCAGAATGTCTGAACCCCTTCACCCCCACCCCTGCCCCACACCCTCACCCTAGAGGTTGTTTACGGGCATAAAAGGGTCTTGTCACCCTCCTTTCAGAGCCGTGGGTTGGAGAGACGTGAGTCCTCCATGGTCGCCGGCAATAAAGACCCTGCAATTTGGCATGCTTTTGTCTTGGTGCTAATTCCGTACTCGATCCAAATACTTCACTACTATCTGGAGTTACCCATCCACAATAAACCCGTGCACAGCTTCACAGCAGCCACAGAAAGAACTGCCAGCTGAACCGCTGACTGCCTCCTGCTTTTCAATCTCTAGGAAGATCAGAACTCAGGGATTTCACATACTCATAAAAACCTCTAAATATCCTAAATCCTGTTTTGCTCTTTCAAGCTTTGTGGTTTCCTTGATGTTCATGTGAGCTACAAGTTGTCTTTCACTTAATACCTCACAATGTTCCTTTTCAGTCTAGCATACATGGTCCCACCAAGACCAGCCAAATGATCCGCCTGATGCTTTGATCTTGGTAACTCCAGACTGCACCGTGAACACACCTGTCACTGAGCAAGTTGCTCTTCACTCATGGCAGGGAGGAAAATACACACCCTGAGCAACCGTGGGACGTCTGCTAAGGAGGCGTTAGGAAACACGAATAGGATTCTGGTTTGTGTCGGGAATTTGGGGGAGGGCTTGAGGAAGGGGGACTTTGCAATGGATGCTGTCACAAAGCTGGAGGACCTCTGTGGTTTCATTTTTATGTCTTGAGTTTCATTTTCAGTGGAGCGGACTAGCACCAGCCCTCAGCTGCAGTTGCCAAGGAAGCAGCTTTCACTGCTGCTAACCAGGAGAGTAGGACGTTTTGTCGTTTCGACAATGTTCACATTTTGCCTGGGTTCAGACGTGATTTTGGAGTGGTCTCGTTTTTCTCTTCATCACTCATGGGTTAGTGTAGCCTTATCTGATTTTGACCTTTTTTTGTTGTCTTTTTTTTTTTGTTTTGTGATGGAGTTTCTTACCGTCGCCTGGGCTGCAGTGCAGTGGCGCCATCTCAGCTTATGAAACCTCTGCTTCCCGGGTTCAAGCGATTCTCCAGCCTCCGCCTCCTGAGTAGCTGGAATTACAGTCACCCGCCACCACGCCCGGCTAATTTTTTTGTATTTTTAGTAGAGACGGGGTTTCACTATGTTAGCCAGGCTGATGGCTGTTATGCCAAGCTGCTGGTGGTACAGGCATGAGCCACCACACCCAGCCTTGACATTCTTTTAAATTATTTATGTTCAACAGGAAAGCCGGGAGTGCTGTGGGTGCTAGTCCAGCTGATGTTCCACGCAGCTGCCGGACCTGAGAGATCACTTTTCTCTTTTTACCCGGTACCAGACAAAATTTTTCATTTTCCCCCAGAAGGCTCAAGGAGTGATCAAGTACATTAGAATTTCACATGATTAGCAGAGAACATGTGAAATGTATTAGCAATGAATACAGAGCATTGAATTTTGCCCCAAATCATCTTCTGACTTATGACTCACAATTCAATTTATTTTTTATTTTATTTTCAAGATGGAGTCTCACTCTGTCACCCAGGCTGGAGTGCAGTGGTACAATCTTGGCTCACTGCAACCTCCGCCTCCCATGTTCAAGCGATTGTCCTGCCTCAACTTCCCAAGTAGCTGGACCCACAGGTGCCTGACACCAGGCCTGACTAATTTTTTTTTTTTTTTGTATTTTTAGTAGAGACAGCGTTTCGCCACATTGGCCAGGCTGGTCTCTAACTCCTGACAGATGATCCACCCGCGTCAGCCTCCCCAGATGTTGAGATTACAGACATAAGCCAGGGGGCCCAGCCTCAATTCAGAACTTATATATGTATACCAGTAACATTCTTATTAGAGAACATAAATGTAGAGCTCAATTGCTCAGAAGACTGTGTATATACATGCATATTCACTACCTTCATGCTAATCAGATTCCAGCTTCCTAAAGCCAATAGCAGTATTATAGAATCCATTCCTACATATCCAGCTAAGAGAAATTACAATTTATGTTTACACAAAAACACGTATGTGAATGTTTATAGCACCATTACTCACCATAGCCAAAAACACTTATCAACTGTCTAT